TAGGCTATAGTGGGGTAGCACATATGGGGTACAGGGTTTCTAGGGTTGTATTTGTACCCAATCTTTCCTTAGTCATTTCATTCCTGTTCTCTTACTTTCACAAAGGTCCTGGTACCCCTTGGTCCAGCGGGATATCCTTGAGCGCAACCCGACGTGGCGGCATGACCAGGGGGCACTCAAGGCGAAGTTCAACCGCCTAAAGGCGGAGTGGCGTCGCATCAACGACCGTATAAGGCGATCTGGGGAGGGACGCGTCACAAACCTGCCGCCTTGGTACCATCTGGCCGAGCGCCTCTGGGGTGAGCGCCCAAGCACCATACCCCCTCTCCTTGCAGGTACCGGCATCGCTCCCGCCCGCATGGCGACGGCGCATCCAGCTCCCCCGGCCGCCAACAACACCCGCGCCACACCGACGGTGGCTACGCCTCAATCGCCGACTTCAAGCCCTTCGCAGACTGCTGCCGCACGGCGCGTCACCGCTCCCCGCCCTCCCGCTCCCGTCTCGCCATATATCCCACCCGTCGTACCCACGCCGTCCCCCACCACCAGCCGCATTACCGAGCCTGCCTCTCCCAGTCGTGAAGCCGGCGCCGTCGCTCCGTCTCGTCCCTCCCCCGAGACTCCACTCTCGCCAGACACTATCGCTCCGAGCAACGGCGGCTCCCCAAGCAGCGCAACGGTCCCGTCAGGTTCGACGACGGGTATCTCTATCCGCGGTCGGCACATCACTTGGGGAGCGCGCCCTACGTCTGATGGCGGGGAGGGGAGTTCAAAGAATGCGTGGTGGCAGTACCCACGCAAGCAAGATGGCGAGAATGATGGCAAAAAGAAGAATGCCGCAAAACGCGGTGTTGGCCGCAAAGCAGTCGACACGAAGAAACCGTCAAGCACTGCCGAGTTGATAGGGGAACTACGGGAGCATTTTGACAAACGGCAGGATGCGAAGTGGGAGGAATTCAAGTCACTAACCCGGGAGGTGTTTCGCGGGTACGCGGATGAGCGGCGCAGTAGGAGGCGTAGATCGCCGCAGTCCACCTCTTCATCCGAAGACGAGGCGTGAAACCGCGCACCTCAGGGCCGGTAAGTCGAAGAGTAGCCGCGGGCCCCTCGAGCCACCATCGGTAGCGCTCCGGCGGTGTGCCCAGGCGATCCCTGCTGCCGATCGTCAGTTCAATGTTGTGAAGTGCCACACAGGCACTTACCACCTGCGGCACCCTCTCACTGTGGCACTCCATCCGGCTGTCGAGTATGCGCCACTTGCCTTTGAGCCGCCCGTTGACTTGTTCGACTATCATACGCTGACGCGAATGTTGTGTATTCCATTTGTCTTTTGCACGTGGCAGAGACCGTCCGGGAGTAGCGCGCCAAGGCACACAAGTGTAGCTTGTGAGAGCGTATGCAGCGTCCGTGACTAACATGTAGTTCCCCAACTCGCCAGCCTCTAAGCGCTGTTTGAGCGGGGAGTTAGTAAACACCCGGGAGTCATTGACGCTTCCGGGGTATCCCGCATTGTAGTCCCAGATGATTCCGTTAGAGTCACAAGCTATCTGTAGGATTATGGAGTAAAAACCCTTCCCGTTTTTGAAATCCTCCTTGTCTCTCCCGAAGCCACGGCAGTTAATATAAGTCCCATCTAGAGCTCCTATGACGCCTGGAATACCGCCCTCGTATCGGAACTCTTCGGCGATCGCTGCCATCTGCTCGGCGGAAGGGTGAGAAACCCAGAGAGGGAGTAGTTCGTCCACTATGAACGCCATAAAGCCTTGCACAATCCTCTGCGCATGTTGCGGCACGACCCCAAACTGCAGGCCGAGCTGGCAGAACGTTGCGCCTGTGCCTAGATAAACTAGCGTCATTGCGACGCACGATTGTACAGGTATCACGCGCTGGCGGTCACAGATCCTACTGTGCAAAGCGTCTACCAAGTAGTCGAAAACAGCACGGTTAACGCGGAAAGTGTCAATGAAAACCCGACGAGGCATTCCACCAAGAAGATAATCCCACCTCTCTTTCTGACTCTCACGGTCCCGTTGCATGATGTTGCGGTCCTCGTCATCGAGCAATAGGATAATCTCTGCAATGTAGTCGACCCCTGGTCCGACAATGAACTGTTGGTACCCTCTATACAAGAGGTGTAGTACGGATAGTAGGTGACGGCGCGACATATATTTGTGCAGAGAGATGTCTCTGATATAGATAGAGGGTTGTGGTGACCCTTTGACTGCGAAGAGGTTGGTGTCGACGGCCTTTGTGCATGTTTGGAATTTTCAATTGTATGTCCGAAGCGCTGAACTCCACAGGCGAAAATTGCGAAGGGTTGTGACTGGCGTTACTAGTGTACATTTGAGATGGCGAAAGGAATACCATCGCGGAACCCTAGCATGTGGAAAAAGTGTCACATGCATTCGTACCGTCCGAAGTTGCAACCATTCAAATCGGACGGTCCGTTTCGTTATAAACGTACCGTCCGATTCCATATAATCGGACGGTACGTCAAAATCACAAAATGCAAAAAAGTTACACGCTCTTATCAATTTTACCTGCCGCAGCAACGCCCATTTCTCATTTCATGCGCTGCGTACTTAGCTGCCTTAGCTGACCGAGCTCATGCCTCTCTGTGTCTTGAATTTGCGCAACTTCGCTCGTTCTTTTCCGCCCACCTTACGCTCGCGATGTCCTCGGCTGATCGATACACGCAAGCAAGCCCTCCTCTCTCCGCGGGCCGAACTCCTTACTCTCTGGTCAACCCTTACTCACCAGTCACTCCTTACTCTCCCGTCTTGCCTTCATACGGCGCTAGCGCTCTCCACAGCAGGGGATTTAACGATCTAGGCAACGTGAATGTAGGAAGATGGGACAATAGCGGTGCCACCACCGCCGCTGCTGGTAGCCTAGGAGGTGGGAATGCAACACCAACGCCACCTCCCACCCATCCGTCTCGTGCATCCGCGCTTGCTTCCTCCCCTCTAAGCGCATCCCCGTTAATGGCATCCGCGCTAGGGGCAATTGGTGGAACTAGCAGAGCCGGCGCGAGAGACGCCGGGCCGAGCACCAGCGGAAGCACTGCGTTTCCGGGGGGGAAGTCATATTCGGGCGCTAGCACTAGCTCCCGCGGCGGTGGAAACCCCGCGCGGGGTAGCGCGGGTGGCGCAGATCCGAGCCTATATGACCCGCTACTATACACTCCTCCCTCCTTCCCGCCATCGCCAGAAAGTAACCCTACTAACCCTTTTAATTCCGAAAATCCCGCTACTTCTGCGCGGAACACTACAGGCGGGAATCCGGACCCCGAGACAGGGGCAGGAGCCCCCCCATGCCCGCTGTGCCCCCCCAACCCTCCGCTCATCAGCCTCCTCCCCACGCTCTCGCTCTACGCCTTCCTCCTCCTCCTCCTCACCTCGCTTCTCGCCCTCCTCGCGTGTCGATCCCTCTGGCCGCAGTACGCGCCGCGCTTCCTGCGAACGCACATACCTAACCCTAATGTCCTCTCGCAGTTGCTCCTCCTAATACACCTCGTTTTTCTCACGCTCTTCGCGTTCCTATACGTGATCCTGTCCCGTCAATTGCTCCTGCACCTCCTGTTCGGGGATCTGCTACTTGTATGCCGGCTTGGGTGGTTAGCTGTGTCCCCGCTGGTGGCGCTATCTGCGGGAAACGCGCTCCTGCTCGTGCTCGTGCTGCTGCTGGTGCCTCTGTTTCAGCCCGGCTCTTCCCCTTCAGGTCCCTTGTACCCTCCACCTCCTCCTCCTCTTCCTCCTCCTCTCCCTGCCCCTCCCACTGTCCCCGGCCCTCCTTCCCTCGTATCAGTTGCTCCTTTCTCATCACTCCCACCACCGACATTACCCCCATCACTCCCACCATTCCTATCGCCCTCTCCTTCCACAGCAACACTACAAAATAGCTTTGCGTCATCCTCCCGGCAATCCGCGTTAGTGTCAGGTATATTTCCTCCCAAAGCGATCCACCACCACCGAAAACCCCGATACTTCTCTCAACCTTCCCCCCCTTTCTCCAAACAACCTGGTTCTTTCTCTTCCCCCTCTTCCTCCTCCCTCTCCTCCAAAAATCTTGCGTCTTCTTCCTCCTCTGCCTCCTCTCCCTCCTCTCCCTCCTGCACTTCCTCCTCCTCTCATCGCTACCTGCGTCAACGACAGCAGCAGTTGCTGCTCCTGGAAAGCGGGCGGACCCCTGGGTTGGGGAGGCCGCGTGCACACGGATATGCTAAAGCAAATCAAGACCTGCTGGGTGTACCACAGATGCGTTTTGAGTCGATTCAAACATCATCACAGGAGCTTCAAGTCTCACCACAGGACCTGGTTCAGCAGAGATTGCAGCAACAGCAGCAGCAGCAGGCATGGCAGGTTGGATTACAGAGGGCTGCAAACTGCGTACAAGGGTTGAAACGACACGTCTTACGGATTGGCGCTTCAGGCTTGCTCGCCCTGCGGAGATGGCTGAGGTTCCATGGACCAGAGTGCGTGCAGAAGCAGCACCAAGGACAACAAGGAAAAGGGGAGCGAGAAGGGAAAGGTCAAGGGGAAGCAGAAGTAAGAAGAGGTGGAGGGAAAGGAGAAGGAGGGGGAGGCAAGGGCGAGGAAGGGGAGGGGGAAGGCGATGTGGTGTGTGAGCTTCTATGGCTGTCGCTGGGGTTCATATCTCTCGCTGAATCCGCTTTCTTTGCCTGTGCATCTGTAGCCTTCATTCACCAGGCATTTGTGTGCCGCGCCCGGCACCAGGACCCTTGGCTCTCACACTCAGGCCTCGGGGCTGTCAGCAGCAGTGGGGGAGGGGCCGAAGAGGGAGAGGAAGAGCGGGGAGCGGCGAGGGGGCGAGGGAGGGGGAGAGGGAGAGGAGGGGGAGATGGTGGTGGTGAGGGTGGGAGTGGGAGTGGAAGGGGGCAGGGGTTGGTGGTAGGGGAGGTGGCGCTGATGCCTGTGGGGTCGCCTCAGCTGGTTTGGTCGCAGAGGGCGTGGCTGCACCTGCAGCACCGCATTGCTCGAATGCTGCAGGTACATTTCTGCTTCCCTGTTCATGTCGCGTGTGGTGTGTTTGCGCGACACATCCTCTGTCTGTCTGATTCGCAATCACTCTCCCTCTCCTTCTCCATCGCGGTCTTGTCCTACGTTTCCTCACCTTGCCAGTCGTATCCCTTTCTTCTCCCCAGTCCCGTTCCCTTCTTGCGCGTCTCCCTGCCTTTCCCATCCCCATGTTATCAACCCAGCAGCCCTCGTCTTTTTCTTTTCATCTCAAACCTTTTTTTCAACTGTCTTCAAATCTCCCCCTCCTCGCCTCCCTTCCCCAATGCCATCCTAACAGCCACTACACGAGCATCTGCTCTTCTTCTCCTCGCCTCTCACCAAACCTGAGGACACCTCCCTGCCGTCCTCTGCAGCAGCAGCTGCCGCACAGGAAGCTCAATCCTTCCGCTACGCACCTCTCCCAAGCCCCTCGCCCTCCGCCACTGCTGCCTCTTCTTCCTCCTCCTCGTCCCCTGCTTCTTCTTCTGCTGCTGCTGCCGCCATTGCATCGTCCATTTCCCCCACTCTCACCATACCACGGCACGCACAAGCCGCCACCACCCCCCTCTCCACCACCACCACCACCACTCCCGCTTCCTCTGCTGCTGCTGCTGCCGCTGCCGCCGGGGGTTTGACCACTCGAATCCTCCTCACTTCCCCAACCTCCTCCTCCGTTCCCCTCCGATCTCTTCCTAGCCCCTCCGCTCCTGCCTTCCCTTCCTCCCTCTCTGGGGGCAGTTCAGGGTCAGCAGCGCTGCAGGTGCCGCCAGCTCAGCGGCTGCTGCAGGAGGGGGGGTTAATGCAGAGCGTGTACAGAGAAATGGTGGCGACACAGCAGCGGGTGGTGGAGTTGGAGCAAGAGGTGCACAGACTGGACGAGCAGAACAAGCTGGTATGTAGTTTTGAGACGTCTCAGAAAAAAATAGACGTGTTTTGAGACATCTCAGAAAAAAATAGATGTGCTTTGAGACGTCTCAGAAAAAAATAGACGTGCTTTGAGACGTCTCAGAAAAAAAATAGATGTGTTTTGAGACGTCTGAAAACACGTCTCAAAACTCGAGATATTGGCGACACAGCAGAGGGTGGAGTTGGAGTGTGTTTTGAGTCGACTCAAACCACACCTGGAGCAAGAGGTGCATAGCCTGGACGAGCAGAACAAGCGGGTATGTATCCATGCGTTTTGTTTCATGCTTTAATTTTTCCCTGCCGTTTCAAGGTGTAGGCGCTTTTTTGGAAATTTTGAAGAAAACCCCTCAACCGGCATTTCACCTGCATGCACACCTGTGTATTCATCTGAAACAGCACCGGCACCTGAAACCCGAAATTCTCCTTTCCTGTCCCCATCCGCCCATTCACCCACACCCTGCAGTATATCCAGGAGCACGCTCGCCTGCGTGGCTTGCTGGGGGAATGGAGCGCCCATGCTGCCAAGCTTGAAGCCGCCCTGTACCGCTCCCAGGTCCATGCACAGAGAGAGGCAGAGAGGGAAGGGCGGAGAGGAGGCGCGGGGAGGGCGGGGACGAGCGACAGGCTGAGGGGAGGGCAGACAGGTGGAGGGAGAGTGGGAGGAGAGAGTGGGTCACAGGCAAGAGCGCAGGCACAGGCACATGCAGGGGGGGCGGCGGGGGGAACGGCAGGGGGAGCAGCAGGGGGGGCGGCGGGGGGAACGGCAGGGGGAGCAGCAGGGGGGGCGGTGGGGGGAACGGCAGGGGGAGCAGCAGGGGTAGCAGGAGGGGGAGGAGCAGATGGTGAGGCGGATGGGCAAGGGGAGGGGGATATGGATGGGGAAGAGAACGGACAGGTGAACGGGCAGCTGCAGGAAGGGAGGCATGCCGAAGGTTTGGGAGAGGGGGACAGGAGGGACTGACGGGATTTGGGTTAGGTGTTAACTGCTGCTTTTGGAGCCGAGGTTATACCAGTAGCACAAGTGTGACTCTCTCTCTGCTGCTTTCCATGATCCATGTGGGGGTATGGTGATGATGAGTGAAGGTGAATGGCACTGTAGCTAATGCAACAACCATATTATCATATACCTGTATGTTGTAGAGGCTAGGTACTGTAGTACTATGTGTTGAATTGGCATTGTATTACTATATGAGTTACTAACCAGGGCACCATTAGTGCCTTTTATGTATGAGTTAAGCACTTTTTGCAGCCCATCCCGCACTCTTTAACGAGGATAGAAAATCGCCCCCATGGCCTTCAGTTCACTCCAACATTGGATATTCCGTCCAATGTTCTCGCTGCGGAGCCAGGTCGTGCTGCTGTGGAGGTAATTGCAACTCAGAGGCTACCGCGGTACTTGGCAAATAGTCTAGTCTAGAATGCCCGCGACTCTCTCGCATTTATCGACCAAATTCTTGCGCGTTTGCTCTTCGAGTCCTTTTCCGCTCTCGCCAGCGCCGCTCCGCGCGTTCAAAGCTCCGCGCAGCCACCTTACACGTGTCGCGTCCCTGCCGCGCGCGAAACAGCCCCCGGCGCATTTCGCGATTTCCGGCTCGCACGCCAGTCAAGTATCTCGACTTGCTTATTCCTCCCTCCCGCCGCTCATCCCGCCGTTCAGCCCGCCGCTCCTTGCGCCGCAATTTGCTCACGCGCAGTTCCCGCAGCCACCGTTCCGCGCTGTGCGCGGAATGTCGTCCGGAGGCGCTGAGGCTGCGCCGGCAGGGGGAGGTGCAGGCGCTGGAGTTGCGCGCGTGGGGGGTGAAGGTGCAGCCGCGGTGGCCGCGTCAAGCGCGGGCGCAGCAGTTGGTGCGCCCGCGCTTGTCCCCCCCGCGCTCGTGGTGCTAGAGGGGGTGGCGGAGCGGGAGGGGGAGATTGTTGCGACCGTGCGGATAGGTGCGCGGGTGACTCGGGAAGAGGAGGGGCGCAGGGATGCAGAGGGGCGAGGGGAAGGGGGGGAGGAGGGGGGAGAGTGCGCGGAGGGGCATAAGGGAGTGCAGTCTCACGTGGTGCAGGTGAAGGCTGGGGCAGGCGTTACCCGTAAGGAACTAGAGTACGTGCCTCTTCCTTACCCTCTTCTACCCACCCACCCAACCCCACTCCTCATCTCCCTCTCTCTCTTCTCTCCCTCTCCTTCCCCTCACTGTTTCCACCTTCTCCTCTCCCACGCCCTCCCCCTCTTCCCCACCACTTCTCTTTCTCCTCCTCTTCCCTCACACTCTTGTGTGCTTGCTTACCTTATCCCTCCCCTTGCACTGCCTGCTGCATCTCCTGCATCTCCTGCATCTCCTGCATCTCCTGCATCTCCGCCTCTCTTCCTCCCTGCACCCCCTTCACGTTCTCCCCTTCTTCCCCCATCTTCCCCCAATCAGGGCAACGGTGCTCTCTGCCCCCTTCGTGGCGTGGTTACAGCAGATGGCAGAACGGGCTGCTTGGCGCGCAGTGAGTTTAGTCGCAACTCCCCAACCCCCTCTCCTCCCTTCCCACTTTTCCCCCGGTGCAATCAGGGCGGCGGTGCTCTCTGCCCCATTTTTGGCATGGCTACAGCAAATGGCGGCAAGCAATGGGCTGCTTGGCACGCAGCGCCTTTACACTCAACTCCCCACACCCTCCTTCTCCTCCCTTCCCCCGTCTCCCCCCAATCAGGGCGGCGGTGCTCTCTGCCCCCTTCGTGGCGTGGCTACAGCAGATGGCAGCAAGCAGACAGTTGGCTGCTTGGCGCGCAGTGAGTTTACAGCTCCCCCACCCCTCCCCCCTTCCTTCCCCCCGGTGCAACCAGAGCGGCGGTGCTCTCTGCCCCCTTCGTGGCTTGGCTGCAGCAGATGGCAGCAGGCAACGGGCTGCTGGGCGCGCAGGGGGGGTGTGACGGCGCCAAGTGTGCTTTGCACGGGGTGACAGTGCAGAGTGTGGACATGTTTGGGGCGGGCAAGGTGGGATTCGTCAAGTTCAAGGCTGACGTCACGGACGTTGCTACAGGCGCCAAGGTGCGTGCATGCTGCCACAGCAGGGGACGTGCCCTTCCCATTCATGCCGTCCCCTTCCCCCAGCGTTCTTTCCATTCTCCCTCCCCTGCCTTTTCTCCTTCAACTGCTTCTGTCAGCCCCCATTCCACTCAACCCACCCGCTTTCCATGCAGCTGCCATGCATAGTGTTTGCGCGCGGCCCAGCAGTGGGCATCTTCATGCCGTCCCATTCCCTATGCCTTTTCCCCCACTCCTTCCGCTGCCCATTCTCCTTTGCCATTCTCCCTTCTGCCCCCATGCAGCTGCCAGGCACAGTGTTTGCACGCGGCCCAGCAGTGTTCATCTTCATGCTGCCAGCTTTCCCCCCCTGCCGTTTCCCTACTCCCTCTGCCCCATTCTCCTTTCCACCCGCCATGCAGCTGCCAGGCATAGTGTTCGCACGTGGCCCAGCAGTGGGAATCTTCATGCTGCTGCGCGTGGCAGCGCCACAGACACAAGGGGGCGGCCCACCCGAACCCCCCACTGACTATGTTGTTCTTACAGAACAGGTTTGCTGCACTCACTCAATCACTCACTCACTTACTCACTCACTCACTCACTTACCCACTTACGCATTCTCATACCCACTTATCCACTCTTCAAACCTTTCTGCTTCTTCTCTCCTTTTTCTTCCCCCTCTTCCCACTCTCATTTCTTTCTCTCTCCATCTCTTCCCCTCTCCTCCTCTCCCACCCTCTCCCTCCCCCCCAACCCATCAGGCGCGGGTGCCAGTGGGAAGAGTGCTGCTGGAGATGCCAGCTGGCATGCTGGACGGCAATCACGGCGAGTTTGTCGGGACCGCAGCAAAAGAGGTAGGTTTTCCTCCTCCTGCTGTTTTCTGCTCTGCAGCTTTTGGGACGCCTCTGAGGTTCGTTCTTGGCTCTCATCATCACTGCATCCGCCTCACCCCAACCATCCTTTCCAGTTCCCAGCTTCCCACCATGCTTACCCCTGATGCTCTCCCCCATGCTCCAATGCTTCATCCATGCACACATCCACCCATGCATGCACCCATGGCAGGTGAAGGAGGAGACGGGTATCACAGTGCATCATGACCATCTCATCAACCTCACCGCCTTCCTGGAACCTTCCACCGGACAACAGATGCTGCCTTCCCCGGTACAATGCTCTTTCTCTGTTCTTTATTCCTCCCTTCTTTCCATTCCTTCTTTCCAGTGCTGCTTTCCTATCGGTCATGCTGGCCGGTCCTGCCATGCCAAGGGCCTCAGCCATCCTCATCCCATTATACAGTTGCTCCTTTTCGGAGCGCACTTCATTGCAACTGAGCCCGTTTCCCCTCACCTACTTCCCTCCAACATTCACACGCAAACGGCCTACACTCCTCCCTCTCCCTCTTCTCTTCCCCTCCTTCCTCTACCTCTCTCGCCTATCCAAACAGGGTGGGTGCGATGAGGGCATCCTTCTCTTCCTCTATCGAGCCACCGTATCACCTGCTGTAAGTCACTCCATTTCCACCACTGCTGCAGTTGTCTCAGAAACGCACGTGTGCCGTCTTTCCCCTCCACTCCATCCCTCCCTTCTCTCCCCCTCGTTCACTCCTCCATCCTCCTCCCTTCCACCCCTCAGCGGATAGCCAAGCTACAGGGCCGGCAGACGGGGCTACGGCACGAGGGGGAGCTGATCAAGGTGCACGTGCGCCCTCTGGACTCCATCTGGCGCCAGTCCGCTGATTGCAAGGTGCTGGCGGCCGTGGTGCTGTATCAGAACGCACTGAAGGAGGGGCTGCTGAGGGACGAGTTCCCTGCTGTGGAGGAGAGTGATGGGGTCAGCAGCGATGGGGAGTGAAGTGAAAGTGAGGGAGGGTAGGAGGGGGAGGAGGAAGGGGGTGGGGAAGGGGAGTGTGGTTGGGAGGTAGTTGGGATACTGCGAAAGGTGATGTATAGAAGGATGTGGATTTAAACGGCAGTCGGTGCTGAAGGTTGGCAGATGGGGGGGAGGGGGGGGGGCATGCAATGCAAGGCGGACTGCAAGGTGCTGGCGGCGCTGGCGCTGTACCAGAACGCGCTGAGAGAGGGGCTGCTGAAGGATGAGTTCCCTGCTGTGGAGGAGAGTGATGGGGGCAGCAGCGACGGGGAGTGAAGCAGAGGAGTTGGGGGAGGAGGGGGGAATGAAGAGGAAAAGTGAAAGGGGAGTGGAATAGAAGGGAATTGAAGAGGGGGGTTGATGGGATGGGGCAGGGTTTGTCCACTGCAGGGTTCTGGTGGAGGCAATGGGGGATAAACACCAGCAGCCACTGCCGGCCTGGGCATGAAGCACCAGCTACAGCAACAGCAGCAGCTACGGCTCCAGCAAGCCCGCGTAATCTGAGGCGCTGGTTGTAACTCGTGTGGCTCAATGCGGTTTTGTATACGTTGAAGGTGGGCTAGGGACTAGGAATGGGTGTGGTGGGCAAAGAGAGGAGCCTTTGGAAGGGCTGTCTTCTAAGTCTCTTGATGTTTATGGTGACAGTTACGGTAATTTGGAATTAGAGATTCTCATTAAGGACTTGTATGTGCTGTTGGGAAAGTCTATCTAATGCAGCACGGTAAGGCCCATGATTCTCAGAGCAGTGATGTGATAGGAGAGTAGCATTTGCAATACAATAGTACCAAGTAGCATGCCTACAATGGTGCACAACATAGCAACAAGCACCTCCGCAAAGGTAAGTTTGGTCCATAGTGGTAAGGGGCATGCCATGGGTGCTACGGTGCTGAAACATGGAGGAAAGCTGTACAGCAGAGGATGGAGAGGTGGTGTGGTGGGCAAAGAGAGGAGCCTTTGGAAGGGCTGTCTTCTAAGTCTCTTGATGTTTATGGTGACAGTTAATTTGGAATTAGAGATTCTCATTAAGGACTTGTATGTGCTGTTGGGAAAGTCTATCTAATGCAGCACGGTAAGGCCCATGATTCTCAGAGCAGTGATGTGATAGGAGAGTAGCATTTGCAATACAATAGTACCAAGTAGCATGCCTACAATGGTGCACAACATAGCAACAAGCACCTCCGCAAAGGTACGTTTGGTCCATAGTGGTAAGGGGCATGCCATGGGTGCTACGGTGCTGAAACATGGAGGAAAGCTGTACAGCAGAGGATGGAGAGGTGGTGGTTGTGGGGAGGGGGAAGGGGTGGGGTGACGGGAGGGGGTTGTGGGTGGGGGAGCAGCTGCACTGCACTGCACTGGTTCTGGGCTGATACATCCTGTCGATCAGACTCCAACCTCCCACGCCCTGCCGCTCCTCAGCAAGCGTGCATGTGCATCATCATCACATGGCGCCGTGCTGCTTTGGCAGCTTGGAGGAGAGCGTGTTGCAGATGATGTCATGGATGTGTGCGTTCACAAAGTACTGGCTCAGCTTGTCCACTGTCAGGAACTTGGCTCCTGCCACCAGCCGCACACACTGCTCGTTCATAAGGGGGAGTTGGGTGGGGAAGAACGGAGGGATGGGGAGGGAAGGGAATGCTGATGGGTCTGGTCTGGTCCCAGAGCACGTGTTCACAAAGTACTGGCTCAGGTTGTCCACTGTCAGGAATTTCGCCCCAGCCACCAGCCGCACACACTGTGCTCATGAAAGAGCAGGAGGGATGCAAGGGAAGGAGGGGTTGTAGGCAGGGGGAGAGGAAAAGAGGGAGATAGTGTGGGGGAAATGCTGATGAACTTACAAAACTTCCCTCGCCATTCAAACCTCAGAGCAAAGAATCGAAAGCCCCTTGTACCCCTGATCACACACCCAACCAACCCCCAAAACATGAACCCCTCCCTTCCCAAACTCCGCGCGAGCTTCCCTTCCGCCACTCTCCAAGTCCCCCTCCTAAACTTCCCCCAATCACTGACCTTATCGGAGCCGCACCAGCAGGCGAAGGGGTGCTGCATCTCCCACTCGAAGGAAGGATAGAAGAAGGTGAGCTCTGCACCCACGGGGATGGCCTGCAGCGCCCTATCGCCCAACTAACCCCCAAACAATGGGCCCTTTTCTCCTCAAACAACTGACCTTGTCTGAGCCGCACCAGCACGTGAAGGGCTGCTGCATCTCCCACTCGGACGAGGGGTAGAAGAAGGTGAGCTCTGCGCCTGCAGGGATGGCCTGCAGCGCGCGCACTTCCATGGCGCCCACGCTCACCGCCACGTTCGGGTCGCAGCTGTGGTTCATGTAGACCAGGTCGGAGTTCAGCTCCAGGTGCCGCTGCGCACCGTACTGCACCGTGCTGTAGCTGCACGGCACGTCCCAGGAGACGCCTGGCGGGGTGAGCGGAAGGGGGAGGGTGGGGTGGTGAGGGGAGGTTCAACCCAAATTTGGGATCGAGGGGTTGGGGTACCGAGGTGGGGGGTGGGTACTAGCAACCCCAGGACAGAGTGGGTGCACTGTACGCGCGAAGTTCGAGGGATGGTTGATGGATGGGAGATGGCGATGGGGCAACTGCGAATGCTTTCTCTCGTTCTGAGCGTTATTCGAATATACGCTGTAACGTCATGCCGCCTTCTAGTTCTGTAAGTATAGTGGCACGTGTCGTGCAATGATTGCAAAAGACGTTTTGAATCATGTCATTCGAGAGACAGTGCCACGGGTGATTGATTGTCTGACCTTCGATTTTGGCGATCAGCTGTCCCTTCTGGAACGGCACGAGCGCCACCAGCTTGGCGCGCAGCGCCTTGCCGTCCGCGTCGTCCTCGGGCCGCACCACGCGCACCCTGTCCTCGTGATACACGAACTTCGCCGGTGCAGCTGGGGCGGCCGCCGCGCCGTTTTTAGTAGGCGAATTAGTGGCGGCGGCGGCGGCGGCGGCGACGGCGGCGGAGCCCACGCGTTTCAGGAGCGGCGATCCGGCGCTCCCGTTCAGCACAGCCGCCGATTGCGGCGTGGTAGGTGGCGGTGGCGCTTTCGCGTTCTGGGCGTCTTCCAGGGAGAGGAGATTCATGGCTGCGCGCGCCGCTGTGTCCGCCGAGTCGCCCAGACTCAGAGACACGAAGCCGGCTGTCGCGGCATCGACCGTCGCGTAGGATAATCCATCCGAAGCGACGGCGCCGTTGGTGCCGTTGGCGGCGGCGCCGCTGCTGTTCTTTCGGGGAGAGAGGAAGGAGGATGCGTTTTTAGTAACATCGCCAGCCGCTGCTGCCTCCCGCCGAATCATCATCAGCGCAAGGGCGCTCGGTGAAGCCTTGCGGTGCGGAGACAGCCCCGCGGCGAGCGGGGAAGCACCGGTGGCGGAAGAAGCCAGCGGAGGCGCGACGGCAGCCGTCGCGGAAGCCGCGGAGGCGGAAGCGGAGAGCGCGGCCGCGGCGATGAGATTTCCCGAGGCCTTGTAGGCCGGGTTTCCGCCAGGCTTGACTGTGGCGGGAGAGGAGAGGAACGTGCGACGGGGGGAATCGACACCCATGATGATTGCCGTGTGGTGACTAGGGGCGGCTGTCGTGAGATCGAGGAAGATCGCTGGGATTCGCACGCGTTGTGGGGAACGAGCGCGGCGTGTGTGGTTTTGCGTGGCAGAATAGAGGGACTCCGAGGTGACGGGATGGGCCTCGACGAGTGGGGCGGAGACGGGTGGTGGCTAGTTAGCGGTCTCGGGAATGGAGGTTGACATACGCAGAGCAGAGAGATATTGCCTGGGACGAAACTGTCGAGATCAGTGGGAACGAGGCTGAGATCGGTGGAGAAAGAGTCTTGGTGGTATTACTACGGCAAAGCTCGGTTCAGATCTTTTGAATGTGGTTGGCAAAATCGAATTGAAGTTGAATGGGAAATAATGTGGGGCGCTATTTACACGAGCTTTGATCAGCCTGTGCGTTGCGATTGTGAGTTAGCTGTTTGGGTTTGGTCCCTTGGGAATTTCGCGCCGCGATGTGTCATGTGGCAGGTTCGACACATGCGAGGCGCGCAAGCAGCTGAACTTCCAGCTGGCACTTCGGTTGATCTGCTGAAGGACCAAGTGGAATGAAAGGGCTACCAGCAGTGTTACAAATTATCAGACATAACCTCACACACCTAAATCGTGTTGTCTTATCAACCAACTATTCCCAAACCAGTCAACCACAACCTTGAAAAGAAAACCTACTTGCATCTTGAGACACAGAGCATGGGCAGAGTTATGAATAAATACTACGCCGCGATCAACACCTTACGAAGATTGTTCTTAAGGTTGGTAGCGAGATACATGCAGGTCACTGAGCTGTCTGTCCAAGTCGCCTTTGACTGAGTCCTGATGACTTGGTGCAATCACACCCACGTTCTCGCCCTCGATTTCCTCCCTGCGTACAACGGAGAAGGGAAAAAGATACGCACGAATAAACAATTACTCTCTAACCAACAAGTTCGTTGAAAAGATGGTGAAACATGTGCAGGACGCGTGAAGCAACTTGCCTGTGGCTTGTGTTCGCCCCGGAGGAATGCTGGGCCGAGAAGTCGATGCTGGAAACGTCATACTTGGACAGGTCACTGCTGCTGAGCACCCCGGCAGGTGTGCGTGTTGAATAACCCATGTTCCTCTGCATACTCCACTCCACGCCCTGCGTGCATGTGGGAGGAGGTAGAGGGGAGAGGGTTGAGGGGATAGGGGATAGGGGAGAAGGGAGATAGGAGAGTGGGTTTAGGAGGGAGGTAAGGGGGGGGAAACTCGCAAGGAAGTGAGGGAATGGGGAGGGGATGAAGGAGGAGCGGAAGGAGAGGAGACGAGTATGGGAAGCAAGGGAAGAGGGAAGGCAACTGGGGGGACGAGCAAGCAGCACTCACAGCAGTGTAAGCGCTCTTGTAATGCCTGACGTGGCTCTTGAGCCTCTTAGGCTTAGGCATGGGGGCAATGGGGTTGGTGTGCTCATCGCTGTCCTCCGCATGGGCATGGCGCGCATGCCTGCCAATGGGGGGCAGGGTAAGCAGTTAGGGGCGCAGGAGAGGGTGGTGAGGGTGTGGGTAAGGAAGTGGGCATGGGAGTGGGCATGGGAGCAATGGGAGTGGTGTGCTCATAGCTGTCGTGGGCATGGCCATGGCGCGCATGTCTGCCAATGGGTGGTGGGGGAAGCAGTTAGGGAAGCAGGAGAGGTGGTGTGGGTGTGGGGTTGGAAGTGGGGATGGGGTGGGGGTGGAGGTGGGGGTGGGGGTGAGTGTGGGGATGGGAGTGGGAGTGGGAGTGCGGGTAGGGTTGGGTCCACAGAAAGATTTTTGTTACCACAAATACACTGCTCAGATGTTAACACACACGCTATTCTCCCATGCTCAGAAAACAAATAAAAGTGGCACAGAAGGATAGGGAATGGCAGGAGCAAGGGGAGAAGCAATGGAAGCAAGCAGGCCTACAAAGCAAAGCAGAACATGGCTGGGGCAAGGCTGGGACAAGGGACACGCAGAAAACACACGGACAAGCTAAGCAAAGGGCAAGCTAGAGCATGGGAGGTGAAAGGGTTGCAAGAAAAGTGCAAGGTTTGCACGGGAAGTGCAAGGGCAGCAGAGGGTTGCAGAGGGTTGCAGGGGCGCACTGGAAGGCCTTGAGTCCGCGGTAGACAAGCAGCACCACGTAGAGGAGGCATGCCCCGCATGCTGCGACGACGTAGAGCAGGAAGAGCCCCCAGAAGGAGTCCGGCCCCAGACGGATTGACTGCAGTGACGGCCCGCTGCTGCACGTGCCCCGACCCTGAGCGGAGAGAGGAGGGGTGAGGGGAGAGAGGAGAGGATGGAGTGGAGAGTGGAGGGGAGAGAGCGCAGAGAAGGGGTATGAGGGGTGGGAGCGGGAGGGGTAAAGCAGGAGGTGAAATGGTGCAAGGGTTAGGAAGGAGGGATGTGAGGGGAGTTGGGTGGGAGGAGCAAGGGAGCGAGGGAGGGAATGGGGGAGAGAGGGAGAAGGGGAGAGAGAGAGGGGGAAGGCGAGGGGAGGAGGGAGGGAGTCTCACGTGCAGCCAGAGGTCGTGCAGCGACTGCAGCTGGCCGTTCTGAGCGAGCGCCTCTATGGCAATGGACATGTCGTTGGCCAGTGATGACCCCTTCTGAAACGCCTGGTCAATGCGCATGGCAACACGGCAGCATGGCAGCAAGGGACACATCATTTCAGCATTTGAGACGTCTCAAAAGTCGTTCTGAGCGAGTGCCTCTATGGCAATGGACATGTCGTTGGCCAGCGATGACCCCTTCTGAAACGCCTGGTAGCATGGCCGCATGGCAGCACGCAGCACATCATTTCCGCGTTGACAGCAGGGATGCGCGAGGGGAGGGGGGGTGCGGGGGGGGGGGGGGGGAGGGGGAGGAAGTGGGGTGGGGTGGGGTATTGTGAGAGAAGCAGAGAGCAGCAAGCGCCGATTCTCGAATCAGAAGGGCGAGGCAGTGAGTCTGAAGCAGTGGAAAATGGGAATTTGAATGCTGCACTGCGTACACATTGAGGCAGTACAGGCTGCTTGAAACCCCGCAGTGTCACTGAATCACAGCAATGATGGCAATCAGACAAAATGCTGATTACGGTTGGAATACTCAAAGGGGAAACAAGAATGTGGAAATGGGGTTTCAGGGGCGGGGCAGGGGCGAGGGGGAACGGGTAAAGAGTGGCGGTGGGTGAGCGGGGTTCGGGATGAAAAAAGGGATTCGGGAGAAATAGCAGAAGGGGGCAGATAGGGAGATTGGGAGCGGTGTGGGCAGCAGAAACGAAGGAAGTACGTGGGTGAACGGAAACGAAACGAGAATAACGGGGAAAAAACAACAGGGCGGGAGGGGAAGGCGAGGTGGTGGGGAGGAGAAGGGCGGGGCGGGCACGGGCGGGGGGAAAGGGAGGGAGTGGAGTGAGGGGTGGAAGGAACTGACAAAGCCGAGGTTGAAGGTGGCGAAGGAGTGGGAGGGTTTGCTGTAGACGCAGTAGTCGGAGAGGAAGATATCCACGTAGGGCTCCTCGTCCACCATCGCCACCACGTCCGTGCGGTTCAACGCCCCGTCCACCTCCGCCTCGTCTGATAACGCCACCAGCCGCGACTGGAGGGGGGGGAAGGGCGAGAGGGAGGGGAGAGGTGGGGTTGGGGCGGTGGGGAGGTTGGGGAGTTGGGGAGGAAGCATGAGAGTTGGTCAACGCCCCGTCCACCTCTGCCTCGTCTGACAGCGCCACCAGCCGCGACTGGAGGGGGAGGCGGGGAGGGAGGGGGGGGGGGGGGGGGGGGGGGGGGGGGGGGGGGGGGGTGGAGTTGAGGGGTGCGGTGGGGAAGCGCATGAAGAGGCATGGAAAGAGAGCATTTGAGTTGCATTTTGAGGCGCCTCAAAAAACACGTCACTGCAAGAGGCAGGCATGGTAAGAGAGCATGTGAGTTGCCCAGCGCCCTGTCCATTCACAACGCGTGATTACTGCATCATTCAAACAACACCCCCAATTTCTTGTTAAACCGCAAGCCAAAGTCCCTACGCGTTTCTCTTACCCTTGCCCCTCACCCCTCTCTCTCCCTCGCCCTCTCTCTCCCTCACCCTCTCTCTCCCTCACCCCTCTCTCTCCCTCGCCCTCACCTCGTTGATCCCCACACTTCGAAGGTACTCAAAGGAGAAGGACCCGCGCTGATACCCCACTGCGTCGTTTGTCACCACCAGCGATTGGAAGTCCTGCCGTGGTTGGATGGACGCATGGCGCAGTGTGGTGTGGTGTGGTGGTGGTGTGGTGTGGTGTGGTGCGGTGTGGTGTGGTGTGGTGTGGTGTGGACAGTCAAAGGCATGTAGGGAGAGAGGGGACAAGGACAACAGATGGAGAGATCAGAGGACTGTACCTATACCCGCATATATACAAAGGACCATTTGAGAGCAGAGGACAAAATTCTATGGGCAACACATGAGTTTTTAAAAAGCACACGCCGCAAGTACGACACAGAATGCACGAGTGCATCCATCCAGAGCAGGCATGGAGATGGAGAGGACAAGAGCAGCAGCAGCAGCAGCCACAGTCGCAGCGGTGGGGCAGCAGCAGCAGCAGCAGCAGCAGCAGCAGCAGCATGAGCAGCAGCGGAGGCGCACCTGGATGGTGGGTTCGGACTGGCTGACGGTAAGCACGGAGGAGAGACTGGCGGTGTAGGCAGAGGAGATGACAAACACCACGAACAGCCACACTATCACCACTATGCGCCCCAGGGTCGTCTTCACATTCTCCTCTGTTGATATGGGCAGAGGGGGAGGAGGGGGGGAGGGGAGAGATTGAGAAGCGGAGAGAGAGAGAGTGGGCGAGAGGGGGAGTTGGAGGGTGGGGGAGTTGGGAGGGTGGAGGAGTGGGTGTTGATCAACACATTCGATCGCAAGCTGACGTGGTCTCTCTGATTTGTAAGCATCGTTGAAAGCTGAGACGCAGCTACACAGTACGCAGCATGGAGACGAATTTGGGTTAAGTTTTAGAGTCGATAGTTTAGGTTTGGGGGTTGAGGGGGAAGCGGATAACAGTGTGCGGGACAGCTTACCTTGGGAGAAGGTCATCGTGGAAAAGGAGAACCTGCACACACACACACATGCACACACACATGCACACACACATGCACACACACACACATGCACACACACATGCACACACACATGCACACACACATGCACACACGCATGCACACACACATGCACACACACACACATGCACACACACACACATGCACACACACATGCACACACACATGCACACACACACACATGCACACACACATGCACACACACATGCACACACACACACATGCACACACACATGCACACACACATGCACACACACATGCACACACACATGCACACAAACATGCACGCGTGCGCAGACACACACACATGCGCGCGCACACACACACACACCCACACCCACACACACACCCACACCCACATGCACACCACATGGCAGATGCGAAGAGATGTGAGTGACAACAGGGCAGTTAGCACACAAGGCACACACGCATGCAGCCATGTTGCAATCATAGTCTGCGAGCCCCACCCACCCACCCACTCTTCTCTCCCCCTTCTCTCCCATCATACTCCCCAGCACAGAACTCCTCCGCCCTTTTCTGTCAACCTGTTCCCATCCGCTTTTCCTGCCCCACCGTTACCCCCACCCTCCTCCCCACCCAACCCCTTACCCTGTCCCCCATGCTTCCCCGGCCCTACTCCCCCCTCTTCCTCCCCTCCCCTCCCCCCACTTCCCCACAAGCACGCACCAGACACTAGTGGCGAGCTGCTGGTGCAGCTTGCCACCAAAGTCGTCGTTCTGCAGGTGCTCGAGGAACCAGACGACGAGCGCCGTGTAGAAGAAGGAGAAGTAGAGCAGCACCCACATGCCCGGGGTGAACGGCCGGAAGAACGCCCACGTGTCCGGCGGTGCTTGCTGCACTGGCACAATCATCGTCAGCCCGGATGCCTGGCGGTGGGGGAGGAGTGGGATTTGAGACGTCTCAGAAGGAGAAGTAGAGCAGCACCCACATGTCATTGCAGGTGCACGTGGCGGATGCCCACATGTCTGGTGGCGCCTGCTGCACGGGCACTATCATTGTCAGGCCAGATGCCTGGTGGTGGTGGTGGGGGAGAGGGGGAAGGGAGGGGAGTGGGAGATGGGAAAGGGAGAGGGTGACAGGACGGAAATACAGGCAGAGGAAGTGGGGGTGAAGAACAGGGGGAGCAGGTGGGAGCAAACGAGTACTGGAAAAGCACAAGCTTGTGCCTGAGATATCTCAAAACAAGCAGTGCAAAGCGCATGTACAAGCAGCAGGCAGCAGGAGGGCTGGGCTTGCCTCGAAGGGCTGGGTGAATTCGACTAGCTGGGCTCTCTGCGCTGTGATGGTGATATCCCCCACTGCTGCATCGTACGTCTGATGGCGGGCACACACACCGGTGGACACGGGGCACAGGAGGGCAGGGGGGAAGGAGGACAGAGGGCAGGTGGGAAGTGGAGCAGGGGGGCGGGGTGCAGTGCAGGTGGACAAATGGGCAAAGGGGCAGGTGGGAAGGAGGAGATGATCAGGCGATGATCAGGAGATGATCAGGAGAAACGAAGCCAAGTGATGACGTGGATGGATGATAACTAATGCTTGCAGAGAGGAAAGGCATAACTAGGAACAATCAGTGACACATAAACACTGAAATGGGATAATCTTGCGTTACCGAGTGTGAAAAGAATTTTCGAGGAGCCTCGGAAACAGAGAGGGGAAATGAATTCGCTAACCTGGGAGTGAGAAGCATTACCTAAGCACCAAAATCAACCCACTCTTCTGTTCAACCACCCCCACTCCCACACCCTCAACCACACCCACAACCACCCCCACACCCACCCCCACACCCACACCCACAGCCACAGCCACAGCCACAGCCACACCCACCCCCACACCCACTCCCACACCCACACCCACTCCCACACCCACACCCACACCCACTCCCACACCCACACCCACTCCCACACCCACTCCCACACCCACACCCACACCCACTCCCACACCCACTCCCACACCCACACCCACTCCCACTCCCACACCCACTCCCACTCCCACACCCACTCCCACTCCCACACCCACACCCACTCCCACTCCCACTCCCACACCCACACCCACACCCACTCCCACTCCCACTCCCACACCCACTCCCACTCCCACACCCACTCCCGCAGCAACCATTTCCTCTTCCACTTCCGCTCCCCCTGCCCCTCCCTCCCCCTCCCTCTTCCTCCCTCTGCCTCCCCTCCCGATCCCCGCACACACCTTGTTAGCGACAGCAGCGACCATGGTGTCATAGTTAGGATCACTGAGGCCGTCCCCGAACGCCACGAACTGGTACTGCAGGTTGTACGGCAGCAGCGCCACGGCGGCCTTGAACACGTCGATGCAGAACCCGGAGAACTTCTCGTTGGAGCGAGAGAGGTTGGAGAGCGCGTCGCCCACAAATACAAACTGGTGGTAGCCCTGGTGGTGGCGGGGGGTCAGGATTAGGGTTGTTGTGCGTGGTAGGGGTGTGGCAAAAGCAAGCTTTGAGGGTTGGGTTTGATACGGCTTAAGGAGCGTGACAGGTTGGAGAGGGCATCCCCCATGAACACAAACTGGTGATAGCCCTGGCGGCAGTGGTGGGGTCAAGATCACAGGGTTGTTACGCGTGGTGGGGTCAAGATCACAGGGTTGTTGCGCGTGGTGGGGTCAAGATCACAGGGTTGTTGCGCGTGGTGGGGTCAAGATCACAGGGTTGTTGCGCGTGGTGGGGTGGAGGATTGGAAGGGCATTATTTGAGTTTTTGATACGGCTCGAAGGATAAGGAGTTGGAGAGCGCAGCGCCCACGAACACAAACTGGTGGCAGCTCTGGTGGCGGTGGTGGGAGTCAAGATTAGGGTTGTGCTTGGTGGGGTGGGAGAGTGGAAGGGCAGGATATGAGGGTTTGACATGGTCTATGCTATGGGCTCTAAGGAGAGCTCTTTGATTTCTGAGACGCTTCAAGGAGAGTTCTAAGGGCTTACCCGCTTGACTGGCACTGCAATCTGCAGTGGTGCAGAGCTCTTCGGGAAGGAGCCCACAGGCACCTACAGGAACGGCGTGAGTGGGCGGGTGGGGCGTGGGGGTAGTGGGGTAAAGTGGGGGGAAATGGGGCGGCAAGGGGGAGATGGGTTGAGCAGGGACAACATAAGCGTTGAGAAGAGGGGGAAGTGTATGAGTGGGGGAAGAGGCAGGGAGGGAAGGGGGAAGTGCGAGGTGATACAGGAGGGAAGTGCGAGGTGATACAGGAGGGAAAAATGATGTGCCAAGACATGCAAAGACTGGCGGAGGCATAAGCAGGGCAGTGCTGGCTCTTTAGGATAATGTACCCATGCACCCATCCTTGCGCACACCCATGCACTCATACACCCATGCACCCATCCTTGCGCACACCCATGCACTCATACACCCATGCACCCATCCTTGCGCACACCCATGCACTCATACACCCATGCACCCATCCACCCATGCATCCATACACCCATGCATCCATGCAGCCATGCATCCATACACCCATGCATCCATGCACCCATGCATCCATACACCCATGCATCCATGCACCCATGCATCCATGCACCCATGCATCCATCCATGCGCCCATGCATCCATCCATGCACCCATGCATCCATCCATGCGCCATGCATCCATCCATGCACCCATGCATCCATCCATGCACCCATGCATCCATTCATGCACCCATGCATGCACGTGTGCATACCTCGGTCTTGGTCCCCCCCGGCCACACCACGTCTCGCAGTACACCACCAGCACCGCCCACAGACGTTCCAGCCCCGTCCGTCCCTGCTTGCGTGCTGCTCGATTTCACTGCTGCCAGCTGAGAGGCATGCAGGTGACGTGCAAACAAAAGAAAGAACCAGCAACAAAAGAGAGGGAAAAGGGGAAGAGGGGATATCGTGTTAATATGACTCTGAAACATGACGACCGAGTGCTGAATATAACGAGCAGATTATGTTGTTGCGCTTACCACTGTTGTTGCGCTTACCACTGTTGTTGCGCTTACCACTGCTTGCTTCCACTCCATCCACATTCTCCCCATCTTATCCTAATAGACTTACCTAACATCTTAGACTGCATCCTAGCTCCGAGCATGGCTGTGAAAACAACGAGTTACAGAAGGGATTAGGGTGCAAGAAAAAGGGGGCGAGGAAGGAGAACAGGAGCAAGAAGAGGAGACTCACCGCTGCTGCTTGGGTTGTGAGCTTCCTGGAAACAAGCACTTGCGCCATCTGCGTATTTGTAGGCATAATAAGTACAGATGGGATTTCAGGAAACAAACCACAGACAGAAAATGGCACGACAGGGGAAAGTGGAAAGAATGGAGAGAACTAGAAGAATGGGCTGAAATGGCTACATTGGGTTCGTTTCACCACAAGCTGCAAGTTGCCTAACCTGTTCAATAGACACAAGGCCTTGGGCAACAACAGTAGCAGACGATGCAGAGGCATTGGAGGAGGCGGAGGCATTGGAAGGAGGAGAGGTAGGTGCGGGGGAGGAGGAAGATGAAGCACGAGACACACTGGTGTTCCCAGCTGCACCAGGCGAAGGAGCAGCTGCCCCAGCAGGAGCAGGAGCAGGAGCAGGGGCAGGAGCAGGAGAGGCGGCGCCGGGAGCAGCAGGAGCAGCAGCAGCGGTGGTGGTGTTGGTGGAAGAGGTGGTGTTGGTGGGAGTGGTAGCAGCAGTGGTGTTGGTGGTGTTGGCACGGTAATGGTAGAAGCCAATGGTGCGGATGCCGTATTGGATGTTGGCAATGCGGAAAAACTGCTCCTGCAGGTCGCCTGATGATGTGAACGACACTCTGACGAGGGGCGGGGAGAGGGAGGGGGTGGTGGGGTGGGAGGGGGTGGGGATGGGGGTGGGAATGGGAGACGATGCTTTGGATGTCTCAAAAATAGAAAGAACTGTGTTTGCAGCGGTAGAAAGGGGTGGGAAGAGAGGGGAGAGTCTGAGAGAGGGAAAAACCAGAGTGGGAAGAGCAGGGAGGAGTGGAAACTGAGTAGAAACTGGGAGGGATACGGCGGAAAAGGAGACAACGATGGGAAATAGAACATGGGAGGAGCGAGGAAACGGGCCCAGAAAATGGAAAAGGACGCAGCAAGGTGCAGGTGGGGTGGGTTGTGGAGGGGTGGGGTGGAGAGTGGTGGGGTGGAGAGGGGTGAAGCGGGGTGAAGGGGTGAGGTGAGTGGTGTGGTGTAACCATGAGGTGGGGTTGGAGTTGGACTCACTCTCCTGTGACACCGCTCATGTTGCTTGAAAGGATGGACGCAAGAAGAGCATCGCCATCTGCAGCAGAGCAGCGCACCATACATACAAACAACAATGACGCCATTGGAAATAATGCCATGCCGTCGCCAATGCCAAGCATGCCAATTCCCCAGCTTCTGACATGCCTGATACGGCGCTGTCTCCATCTGAGCCATCTCAAGAGCTGTCTGAGAATCATAAAAGCCATGGTGCCGTTCCTGACTGAGCACAAATCGCCATGCTTCACGCACACACACATCTTGGTGACTTGTGAGCCGACTCAAAAAAGACAGATTGCAGCGCTTCATGCACCCACCTTGCCGAATCTGCAGCTGCTGAAACCCCTCAATGACCCCCCCGGAAGCAGCAGCGGGCGGAGCAGGAGGAGCGGGAGAGGAGGAGGAGTTGCCTTGGGGGGGGGCAGACGGTGACGGGGGCGGGGGCGGCGCGGGGGGGTGGAGGAGCGTGTCGAGGTGAGCAGCGGCAAAGAGCTTCACTGCATCATACGCGTACAGGGCCTGGCGGTACCCCTCTGCTTCGCTCTGTGAGGGAATGGGAGAGATAGGGGGGCAGAATGCGGGAGCAAGGCATGCAGATTCTTTTCCCCTTTCTCTCTCTCTCGCCCCTTCTTTTGGTTTGTCAAGTACAGGGCCATGCGATAGACCTCCGCCTCGTTCCGTTGAAAAACGGGGGCGGGGGGAGCATAAAACTGAGGTCTTCAAGACAATCGTTTTGAAACAGGCACGCTGTAGTTAGAGCATGCAACTAAGGGGGCGAACGAGAGAGGTGCTTAGACATGACAAGAGCACGCTCGCATGCAGAACAACGGCAAAGCTTATTCTCTTGCACAGTCGGGCGAAGAGGACAGACAGAGTCATACAGGCATAGTGCACTTACGAGCAGCAAGGAGGGAGTGAGTTTGGCCACGCCAGATATGGCCTTGACAGTTTCCTCGCGATGTGGCGTGGGCACATCAAAGGGCAGCGTGCCTATCATGCCCTGCCAGACACCAGCCACACGCAATCCACACACAATCCACACGCAATCCACATGCAATCCACACGCAATCCTCACGCAATCCTCACGCAATCCACACGCAATCCACACGCAATCCACACGCAATCCACCCGCAATCCACACACAATCCACCCGCAATCCACACGCAATCCACACGCAATCCACACGCAATCCACACGCAATCCGCCCATAGCACGGCAGGAAGGGAGAGAGGCGTTACTTGCTGCTTTGCCTGTTTTATGTGCCTCAAGAATACATGTGAAGTGAAAGGGCGGCATGAATACCTCTCTGCCACCCACACACCATGATAAGGAGAGATTGGAGGACGAGGGAACATGTAAGGGAACGGGAGAAAGAGAACTGTGGGAGAGCGACTTTTAAGGAGCCTCAAAAGGAGGACGAGGGAACATATAAGGGAACGGGAGAGAGAGAACTGTGGGAGAGCGACTTTAGAGGCGCCTCAAAAGGAGGACGAGGGAACATGTAAGGGAACGGGAGAGAGAGAACTGTGGGAGAGTGAAGAGCATGCTTAGAAGACCCCAGACAGAAAACGGGGAGACTGGAGTCCACAGTAGAGGCTAAGCCTAAGAGCAATGCAGTGCAGACAAGGCGCCAACGTGATATTGGTTCTGGTATAAGACGGTGAACCATGCTGCATGCCCCATGCCCCATGCCCATGCCCCAGGCCCCAGGCCCCATGCCCCATGCCCCATGCCCCATGCCCCAGGCCCCATGCCCCATGCCCCATGCCCCATGCCCCATGCCCCATGCCCCATGTCCCAGGCCCCATGCCCCATGCCCCATGCCCCATGCCCCATGTCCCAGGCCCCATGCCCCATGCCCCATGCCCCATGCCCCATGCCCCATGCCCCATGCCCCAGGCCCCGTGTCCCATGCCCCATGCCCCATGCCCCATGCCCCATGCCCCATGCCCCAGGCCCCGTGTCCCATGCCCCATGCCCCATGCCCCGTGTCCCATGCCCCATGCCCCAGGCCCCGTGTCCCATGCCCCATGCCCCATGCCCCATGCCCCAGGCCCCGTGTCCCATGCCCCATGCCCCAGGCCCCAGGCCCCAGGCCCCATGCCCCATGCCCCATGCCCCAGGCCCCATGCCCCATGCCCCATGCCCCATGCCCCATGCCCCAGGCCCCGTGTCCCATGCCCCATGCCCCATGCCCCATGCCCCATGCCCCGTGTCCCAGGCCCCATGCCCCAGGCCCCGTGTCCCATGCCCCATGCCCCATGCCCCATGCCCCAGGCCCCGTGTCCCATGCCCCATGCCCCAGGCCCCAGGCCCCATGCCCCATGCCCCATGCCCCATGCCCCAGGCCCCATGCCCCATGCCCCATGCCCCATGCCCCATGCCCCAGGCCCCAGGCCCCGTGTCCCATGCCCCATGCCCCATGCCCCATGCCCCGTGTCCCAGGCCCCATGCCTCATGCCCAGACAGACCCCACGCTCCAACCATGCCTCGTGGCTCACGCTCAGTACCCGCACCCCGCACCCCATACCCCACGCACCCCATACCCCATACCCCATACCCCATACCCCACACCCCATATCCCATACCCCATACCCCGCACCCCATATCCCAGCATGCACCTCGCAGGAGGCCTGGGTACTGGAGAGGCGCGGCTCAGCGGCCAGCAGAGACATCACGCCCGCCGTCGCGATCCACACATACCCCTCTGTGAACAGGCCCAGCTGTGACGCTGCCCAGGGAGAGAGGGGGGGACGGAAGGAAGGAAGAGATGAGTTTTTTTAGTCCCCTTGGAAATCAACAGCAGAGAAATCACAGCCCCTGTGCTGGTCCACACATACCCCTCCGTGAACAGCCCGAGCTGAGACGCTGCACAGGGAGAGGGGGGGCGGAGGAAAGGAGAAGACGGAGAGGAGGGGAGAACGACAGGAATAGTGGGGGAAAAGGGGAATAAGGAGGAGGGTGGGAGGAGGTGGTGGGGAAGAAAGGGTTTAAGGGTTGTTCAGCAGGTGAAGCAGGATCATAGAGGCTCCCTCACTAAAGGCACCTGCTCCACCTCCCACCCGCCCCAGCATTCACCTGTCCTGCCTCCCTCCCCCTACCCGTCCTGACTTCCCTGGCCTCCTTAGGCTGTTCGTTTGCTGCACGCACCAGTCTTGAGCAGGAGGCGGATAGTGGGTTCGTTCTGCAGGTGCAGCACGAAGACAGACGCCTCCACCGACCGCACCTTCTCCCCCTCCCACCCGCCTGCCCTAGCATTCACCTTCCCAACATTCCCCCTGCCTGGCCTCCCACCGTACCGACTCCCCCTGCCCTGCCTCGCACCAGATACGACTCCCCCTCCCAGGCCTCCCACCTGCTGCACCACACTCACCAGTCTTGAGCAGGAGGCGGATGGTGGGTTCGTTCTGCAGGTGCAGCACGAACACAGACGCCTCCACCGACCGCACCTGCAGCAGCGCCTTCATCACGTCCTCCACCGCACTCACCCCGCTGTCAAACTGCCACGACGCCACCACACGCGCCGTGCCCTGGTGATTGGGTAAGGGGAAAGGGGAAGACGCGTGGAAGGGGGGGGGGGGAGCGGGGAGGGAGAGGGGCGGGGCGTGGGGGGGGGTTGGGGGGGAAAGGGGGAGTGGGGAGAGGAAAGGACGAGGGTGTGACAGAGGGGGAGAAGATTAGTTGGAAAACAGCAGCGCCTTCATCACGTCCTCCACCGCACTCACCCCGCTGTCAAACTGCCACGACACCACCACACGCGCCGTGCCCTGGGGAATGGGGAAGGGGAAAGGGGAAGACCGAGCAGAAGGGCGGAACGGCAGAAGGGCTGACGGGCAGAAGGGCGGAAGGGTGGGAGAAAGGGGAGGGGGGGGGAGAAAGGACGCGGGCGTGCAGGGGTGAGGAAATGATTCGCCTTCATCACGTCCTCCACCGCACTCACCCCGCTGTCAAACTGCCACGGCGCCACCACGTGCGCCATGCCCTGGAGATTCGAGGAGGTGGGAAAGGGTGGGTATGCCAAGGGAGGAGGGGACGGAGAAAGTGACGCATAGACAAACAAGAAGAAAGAAATGCTGGTAGCCCCCCCCAGAAACGGAACTACCCAACCCTTTGAAATTGCTCAATCTGGATTCACACGCACTGACCCGCTGTTGCAAAAGGCGTGTGAGGGTCTGGAAGCCGTTCCATGCGCTGTCGGTGCTCTCAAACAGCGCCACCACTTGTGTCCAGTTGTAATACGATATGATGTCTGCACGTGCGGCGGAATCACAGATACCATGTCAGGCACATGGTATATATATACAAGAGCAGAAACAGCATGGCAGCATGTGACCATACAAAACAGCCCGACAGTAATCGGCATGACGTTATGTGATGGGCTAGGAAGAGAGAAGGCAATGGCAGCAGCACTGCCTGCCACGGAAACAACAATCTCAATAGCTACTTCTATTGCACGACTGAGAGCACAACAAGCTCACAAATGCAGGCAGGCAGCTTTGCTCGAGACATAGAACCACACTCACACTCACTTACTGGCCCCCTCACTGGCTGACTGATTGGCTGACTGACCCACCTAAAACGGCAGTCATCGGCGCCTGGTCGTCATAAGTGCATGCGCACAGAGTAGGGCAGCTGCGCATTCGTGTTCAGCAGCAAAGGCCCTCGTGCCATTGTGGCAAGGTGACTTTTCAGCCAACCCACCTGAGACAGCAGTCATCTGCGCCTGGTCATCGTAGTGCATGCGCACAAAGTAAGGCAGCTGTGCATTGGCGTTCAGCAGCGGGTCTGACGCTGCGTACGACAGCAGAGGCACCTGCAGCACCGGGTGAGCAGAGGGAGCGCGCGAGACATGAATGATTTTGACTTTCAACGTCTAATAGTTGCTGTCAAGACGCTGGAAGGGACTGAGGAGGCATGTACACAAGGTGGAGTGGAGCAGTGGCATGCAGATACAGTACGCAAGCGTGTGGTTCGTTTGACGCAACTTAAAAAGACCTGCAACAGGGCAGCAGGTGGCGCCTGGACTTAAGACATGCAGCTGCACAGCAGGTCGCACCTGGACAGCAGGTCGCACCTGGACAGCTGAGGCGATGGGTCCCACAATGGAGGCCTGGAGCGACGTGGGCGGCCCTAGCAGCACGTCTGGGTGTGGCGCTGTCAGAAGCAGCTGCAAGGCTGGAGCAGAGAGACAAGCGGAACACACAGGTGGGATTCGCGTCACACAATTCCACGCCAGTTCGTCCGGCAGCAAGATAACCCCAAGAAAATGATATCCCAGGGTGATTAATCTCAAAAAGCAATCTAACGACAATTTCAAGACACCTCGACAATCGCAAGACACCACGACAATCCCAAGACACCATGACAATCACAAGACACCACGATTATCCCAAGACACCATGACAATCCCAAGACACCATGACAATCCCAAGACACCACGATAATCCCAAGACACCACGATAATCCCAAGACACCACGACAACCCAAGGCACCATGACAATCCCAAAGGCCAGCAGCACTCTTACCTGCAGCCTCGGCCTGGAAGGGGTCAGAGTCACTGGCGTTAGCCATGCGCAGCACTATCCGCACACGCGTTGCAGCCTCCACCTCCCTCACCGCCCTCTCAATCGCTGCAGCGCGGAGCGTGGTGAGAGAACCAGGGGACAGAGGAAGCGAAGCGAGTTGGGTTGGGAGGAGGGAAGAAAGGAATGGGTGAAAGATAGATCAAGGCTGGTTCTGGGGAAGAGTGGTGTGGCGTGTCGGAATGTTGGTTATCTGCAGCACAGAATTCACCATGTGAATCTTCCGCACCGTCTTCTCTTCTTTGCCGCTGTCGCAGAGGGGTAGTGAACGGGAGAATGGGAGAGACGAGAGGGTAACGGCAAACGAGCGAGCGACTGATGGTGTTGCACGAAGGGCGAGCGAGAAGCGACTGTTCTAGGAAGGAGGATGGCATCTCGTCTCCGAGTCTGGGAGGAGACAAATAAATATCAAGTTTCCTGGCTACGGACATAAGACCTCCTCTTGAAGTTGGTCGCGATGTCAGCGGAGAATGCTCAAAACATTAGCTGGAAATGGAGAAGCGCGAAGCGAGACGAGAGAAAAGAGAAGAGAGAGAAGAGAGGCGGGAGACGAGAGAGGAGAGAAAGCGAGGCAAACCCTATGAGCATTAAAGACCACCACACACCTACCGCGCCCAACGAAGGACTTCGGTTCTACAAAGGGAGTGAGAGTCACAGCACCATCGCACCTGACGTCATGAGAAGCGTCAGGCATGTCGACTGAACGAAAAGGAAACCACTAAGTTAAGAAACTTACGTGAATAGCGGAGGTGAGAAGCTCAGTAGAATCGTACCTGAGGCGATAAGGAGCCCCGACGGAGTTCCCAGGCTCAGCAAGCACCCTACCACGGGGGCCTCTTTTCGCTTTCCGCGCGTCGCGGCGGCTGCGGCGCCCATTGCGGCGGCATACGCGGCAGGCACATCCGGGACGGACGTCGCCTCGGCTTCCACTAACGAGCGGACGTTTCGAGACGGATTCTGTAACGGAATATCAGAAGAACTCTTCAGAGCATCTACATCTCTGTAGGGAGTCCGCTCGAGACCTTCTTGAACGCCAGTGCCTTCAGACAGCCCTTCGTTAAGTAACGCGTTGGTATCGCTCCTATCTCCGCCTCCGCTGCCGTCGCCGCTGCTACTGCTGCTAAAGCTGCTACCGCTGGCGGTGGTGCTATCGCGAGCGATGTCGTGTGAATATAGTTCCTCTAACCCCTGCCATTGTGGATGAGCCGGTAACTCGTCGGCTTTTGCTGGAAGCTCATCCGGCGGGAACGACGGTCGCAAAGGAGAATGTAACGTGGAGATTCCATGGCTTTCTGTCGCGCTGAGAGGCTGTGCTCCGTCCTTTGAGAACGTTACATGCGCTCGCGGAACTGGGGAGAATAAGAAAACGAGGAGAGAGGTCACGCAGAGCCGGAGGCGCAGACCACGGCGAGAGAACGGGGAAGGGGAATGTAACCATGGCTGACCGTGCGGTGATCTCGTAAACGGTTCCGCCATGGTATGCGCTCGAAAAATAAGAGTTATCTTGACGTTATTGCGAGCGGATTAAAGGGGACACATTCTATAATTACGTGTGACGCAGGAGATTTAGTAAGCTATGACTGCAGGCAACTCCGTCAAGTAAAACTCCAGAACCGAGAAACTGGTACTTTGAGATAAGGGAAGCGCACGTCACCGCAGCGAGCAGCATCAATAAGTCACGCGACGTCAGTCAGCCTTTTGATTGGAAGCTCCTTCCTGCGGTTTGTGCAATGGAGGTGTTGTGGAAGGTTGCGAGCAGTGGTGTCATGGCACAGTGAGACACACGAACGGATACGGTGTGCTGTATTTGAGAGGCAACAGGGGGGGGAGGCAACGGGACAAAAGAACACCATCGAAGGTGGGGGAGAGGAGAAGGGAGGAATGATGACAGCAGGAGGCGGAGGATGTGCTTTGTTTAACTGTAGAGCTTGTGCAGAGAGGTTCACAACGATTTGGGTCTGCGTTGACTAGGCTAGCACCCTGTATTGACTGAAATTAAAGGGTTTTCTGAGGTGTCTTGTGGGACTTCGACCTTAGAGCGTGTCCGAAGTGAAGCGTCGAATGAATGTCGACGGATGTCGGTGAATATCAACCCTCGGATCGAGAGTTGCAACCGTCAGGATTTACCGACATTGGATGTCAACGGATGTCGACTTTACTTCGGACCCGCCCTCGCGACAGAGGTGGGTAGTTACTCTAAGCAGAAAATAATGTGGAATCACTTTGAATGATCTGGGGCTTGTATTTCCTACCCGAATCTCCTCAAGCTGGAAAATTAACTCATATCCACCATGATTCTGCCACTGTTTCCATAGCCCGTACAGGTGTTGTCTAGGTGTTGTTCGGGAGCACCACAAGATGAGGATGAGGGTGAGGTCTGGTACCGAGCCAAAGAAAAAAACGACAACATACCACTTGCAAAACTGTACAGTGTCGACAGCTGCTCAAACAGTGTCGACAGCTGCCTAAACAACGTCGACAGGTGTGAAAAATGACAGGGGTGTGCATAGTCAACGCCCGATGTTGAGCAAAAACGACAACCACAGCACGAAGGGGGTCAAGATGCACAATAACAGTACCTCCTCTGATTCTTCATCAACTACCAAATTCCTTTCCACCTCAAAATCTTTTTTTCGAAACGTGGCAACCCTAGCAAAACTAAATGAATCGAAAAAACACAAGTCAAAGGGATAAGCTCAGTTTCGTTCGTAAATGTCCGCCCAGGGTAATCTGGAGATAGACTACCAGATGCCTCACATTTTTTTCTGACGACTCAGCCTCACATTGCCCTCACCAGAGCTTGGCGAGGGGATGTGCAGCAACTTTTGCCTGCGATGAGGTCAAAATGAGGTTGGTGTTTCCAAACCTTCAGGTTTGGTCACGACGGAGGTCGCGTGGGGGTCGCACGCGATTTTTGGGCTTCCGAGCCTTGTACTATTCATCCTCATCATCACGTAGCCCTCATCCTCATGTACTCCCGAACAGCACCTTAGGCTTGTCATTGGTCAACCGCGATCGGTGTTCTGGTGGGGGTTGACTGTCACCGCCACTGTAACTTTCTAGCATTCCTGTTATGAGTTGTAAAAGAGAGTGCGCAGGTAAACGAATAACGAAGCTGTGACTGAATCAACTGCGAATACAATGAATGCCCAGATTAATTTAGAACTACTCTAGCTAGGAGAGAACCTCGGGCGAGCGAGGTTGGGTGCAGGTTTGGCGATGAGAAAGCCGAAGGCGACGCGAGGAGCCTCGGCAGCGTTGAAATCGGCCGAACGTGTGAACTCCGAAAATCGGGTTGTACGCGAAGCAGTCAACCCCGATAAGGAATTCGGGAAAAAATCCTTACACCACCCCCCCCCCCCCCCCCCCCCCCCCCCCCCCCCCCCGCCCCCCCCCCCCCCTTAAGAAAGGTAGTCAATAGCCGAAACACGCCGTCGCGCCAGATAATCACCAACAAGCGTCGAGGCGTCCAGTGAAGCGGATGGCACCCACGTGTCGTCCTCACTGGTGCGGTCGGTCCAGCGAATCAAGAAATCCACGGGGCGACCAGCGGCGTCAAGGCGGACCCTATGAGCGAGGATCTTGGAAGGGTCAAGGGTTGGCTCCGGTACGGGGCGAGCTGTCGGGATCGCTTGCTGACGTGCAATGGCGGTCGTGGCAGGCACGAACTTCCGAAGAAGGTTGACGTGGAAGGCGTCGTAGATATGCCAGTCGTCGGGGAGCAACAGCTTCGCTGTGACAGGTGTCACCATCTTGAGAATTTTAAACGGTCCGCAAAATCGAGGCCGAAGTTTCGCAGGGCCGGGCAGGTTCAGGTTCTTCGTGTCGAGAAGGACTAGTTGCCCAGCTGTCAAGATGAGCTCCCGTCGTAGAAGGTTGGTATATTTGCGGGAAGTAATATTCGCCTTGCGAATTGCATCGGCGGCTTTTTCTCGGACTTCCTGAAGTTCCGTCACGAAAGTCTGGGAACGGGGAACCGGGTTGGTGAGTGTAGTTGTCGTTGGAACAGCCGGATCCATCCCGTAATTGAGGAAAAACGGGGAGTGATTAGTCGTGCTGGATGGTGCGTTGTTGAAAGCGAATTCCAGCATGGCGAGCGAGTCTTCCCAGCGGGCAGGGTCGGGGCAGTTGGTTCGGATTAACTGCTCCATGGTCTGGTTGGTCCGCTCGGTTTGACCGTCGGTCTGCGGGTGGTAGGCCGATGAGAACTGTAGCTTCGTGCCGTATTGTGCCCACGTTTCCTTCCAGAATTTGGATGTGAATTTGGGGTCGCGGTCGCTGATGATCGCCGAAGGGATGCCGTGCAGTCGCACGACCGTCGAGATGAAAAGTCGCGCAGTTTCTTCGGCTGTGATTGTTGTTCGGCATGGTGCGAAGTGCGCCATTTTCGTGAAACGGTCGACGACGACGAGAACAGCGTCGTTGCCTGTCGGCCCTACTGGCATCCCCGTGACAAAATCCATTGTCACTTGTTGCCACGGTCGTTCGGGTGGCTCGAGGGGTTGCAGTAGTCCAGCTGGTCGCTGACGTGTCGACTTCATTGCTTGGCACACCCTGCATGAGGACACATATCGTTGCACGTCGTTAGAGGAATCAGGCCAGTAATATTGACGGTGCAGTATCTTCTGGGTTTTATCAACCCCGAAATGTCCGGAAAGGTTGGAATCGTGTATCTCATGGATGAGGAGCTCACGCAGCAGTCGGTAAGCGGGAACCCAAATCCGGTCGGTTCCGGCTTTTAGGTAATAGTCCCCTTTCTGCGTCGTAGCCTGCTGATGATTTCCCGTTGTGAAGAAAGGGTCTGTCGTGTAGCCGTGGGTGAATAGTCCCGTAAGTAGCGGGTTCGAGTGGGTGATGAGTAGTGCAGCGGTTTGTACTATCGGTCGGGTTAGGGCGTCTGCGTGTCAGATATATATGACATAGCTATTGTAGGCTATAGTGGGGTAGCACATATGGGGTACAGCTTTCTAGGGTTTGTACTTGTACCACACTTTCACTTAGTCATTCCATTCTCGTTCAATTCTTCTCATGGTATCGAGCAGGTTCCCCTGTGGGAACTGCGCCTAGGGCCCACCACTTCGATTTTTTTTTTACTGCCCGAAGCGCACTCATCCCGAGTCGCGCCTCGGGCTATTCACTCACCGAGCCGCCCTAGCGGCCTTCTCTCCCCTAGCGGCCCTGCCGCCCTACGCTTCGCGGCCCCGCCGCCCTGCTATCGCGGCCCCGCCGCCCTTCCTTAGCGGCCCCGCCGCCCTGCACTTCGCGGCCCCGCCGCCCTGCTATCGCGGCCCCGCCGCCCTTCCTTCGCGGCCCCGCCGCCCTGCTCACGCGGCCCCGCCGCCCTCTGCTAAGCGGCCCCGCCGCCCTCTGCTAAGTGGCCCCGCCGCCCTGCTACAGCGGCCCCGCCGCCCTGCACTTCGCGGCCCCGCCGCCCTGCACTTCGCGGCCCCGCCGCCCTTCCTTCGCGGCCCCGCCGCCCTGCACTTCGCGGCCCCTGCCGCCCTCTGCTACGCGGCCCCGCCGCCCTTCCTTCGCGGCCCCGCCGCCCTGCTAACGCGGCCCCGCCGTCCTGCTTCAGCGGCCCCGCCGCCCTGCACTTCGCGGCCCCGCCGCCCTTCCTTAGCGGCCCCGCCGCCCTTCCTTCGCGGCCCCGCCGCCTTGCTAACGCGGCCCCGCCGCCCTCTGCTAACGCGGCCCCGCCGCCCTGCTAACGCGGCCCCGCCGCCCTGCTTCAGCGGCCCCGCCGCCCTGCACTTCGCGGCCCCGCCGCCCTGCACTTCGCGGCCCCGACGCCCTTCCTTAGCGGCCCCGCCGCCCTGCTTGAACGGCCCCGCCGCCTCCCATAGCGGCCCTGCCGCTCTCCTCTCCTGCCGCGC